TTGAGACTTTAGTCTTTGCAACTTTACAGATCTTCTTTATGCACCAAGAGCTTGTAACACACTTTTAATCGCATCATATGACCCCTTTAAATCACTAACTTTGGTATGTGACAGAAAATACTGTATATTTTACAGTAACAAGCTATTTAGTCAGATAAAATTTTTTCTAATTGTACAAATGAATGAAAATGAATATATATATATATATATATATATATGTATATATATATATATATATATAAGATAATGTGACTATATTTTTATATATATATATATATATATATTACATTCTTTTGTATTACATATAGTATTACATTCTTCTGAAATCTTAATGCATTTAACTACTTTTTGTTAATAGCTCAGATAGCTTGACAACTGTTTAATTACTTTATACAGGAAGCTAGAGTTTAAAAACTGCTTCTTCAACACAGGGCTCAACCAATGGCGTGTGTTTGGGGGCAGGGCTTTGTTTAACCGAACAATGACAGATGGAGTGCTTGAAAACCTGTTTGAAAACAATTAGTATTTTTCTTTTGTTGCCAATAATCGTCCAGAAATTACATCCTTCACCTTTAAGTAAAGCTAATTATAAAACTAATAATATCACAGATGAATCCTAACCCAAAAGTATTCCTAAAAGAGCATTTTTAACTTGTTTTAACCTGTGATGACACCACCATTTTTGTCTTTTTCCATATTTAGATAACTTCTAAGGAAATTTTGCAGCAAATGTTTTCCCCAAAGTATTATCTGGGTATGAAACATTAATGGCACTGACCTTTTTCTGCAGAGCACAGTGGAAGATGAAGATAAACATGCCCTGGAAGGCATTAAAGGTGGTGAAAAGATATGCCATGATGACGGTATTCTCATTGATGAAGAGGAGGCCGAAGGCCCAGGTCAGACCCAAAAGGAAGAGCAGTGCGATAGCCCCCAGAGCCCAGGACCTGAAGGAGAACATGCATACATTCACAATACATACACATACAACAAAAACATCATAGATGATGTGACTATAATGTGCATTTTTGCAGTGGAAGACTCTCACTTGATGTTGTCCAGGCGGCTGGAGTCGGGTTTGAGGGCGGAAGAGTTACGGACCATCTTGTGAAGTGTTATCATGAGGAACACCAGGTTCAACTAAAGGTCAAAGGTAAGACAAAAGAAAAATGTAACTTAAAGTCATTAACTTCCAAGTCATTGTGACACAAATTAAAGCCTATTGGCTATATAAAAAGGACAAGTCCTTTAGAAAATGTCTACACTGGAAAGATAATTTAAACCATGGCTTTCTTCCTAACAATGAGCCTCATTCATAAAACACAAGCAGAATTTCAGTGTAAATTGTTCGTGAAATCATTCTATCTTAAATTGCTGCAATTAAATGCAACAATTTGGTGATACGAACATTTACACAGACATTTACTTGGTTTGTGTTAGATGAGAGATCCAATGCAAGTAAGAAAAGAACTTATATTAAAAAAAACAAAAACTTTTTTCTCACAAACTAATAACAACAAAAACAGAGCTAACACATTAGTAAAATATATTGTAATTACGAAAATGTCAGCAAGTTCCCATATCTAAGCTCCACACTCATATAAAGCATATTACAGCCAAAACATAGTCGTCAGCAGCAACAGATCCATAGGTGAACAAAAGTGCTTTGTTTGATATGACTAGCGCAGCACTTTTCAGAGAGAAAAAAAAGGAACAAACTCTGAGCAAAGCAGAGAGAGCGCTGAATGTTTGGAGAGAACAATACCATGATAATGAAGGACACAGGGCCGATAAAACTCCAGATGAAGTAGTTATCCACCCTCAACCAGCACCTACACACAAAACACACACACGATAACCTCATCAGTAACATTTCACTGTTCAAAGAATGATCACTTCATTACAGGCAAAATCACATATGCATTTTATGAAGTAGCACATTACTGATCATCGAATGCTTTGAAATAATTGCAAGACATCTTAAAATATTATTGCTTTCGAGATGCCGATACATTTTTTGGCATAAAAACAAGCTAATAAAAGAGCAATAAAAGTCTAGTTGAAGGTTAAGCTCAGTTTTTAATCATTAGTGCACTGAGCCAGCGTCTCATTTTCTGCACTGTAGTCAACATTCAAAAGTCTGCAGCTGTGCTATTTTTCCACAGTCGCACACACATAAACACAGACCAACACACACTTGCGTGCACACTAACAGAGCGACACACGCTCACACAGTAATCAGCTCAGTTAAAGGTGCTGTAAGCGATTTTGTTAACTTCCGCTAGACAATAAATTAGACCACGCCTTCTAAACAAAACCCTGCCCCCTCAAAGTAATGACAGTCAACCCAATGTTAGCAAACACAAAGAGGTAAAATTAGGGCTCCCACACTTTTGAATAATGGACTTATATAACTTTTTAACCATAACTTTTTCTAGTTGTTTGTGAATAGTCAAGATTTAACAATAAAAATTGTCATTAGTATTACTTTAAGCATTTTAAAACAAAATCTGTATATATATATATTGGCCACGCCACTCACAACTGCTGCTTCTGTCACTTTTTCTCTTGACAAGAAGTGCATTTATTCAGTCGCAGAACGACGTTTCAAACGCGCGCTCCACTTCACTTTAGCGCCAGGCGTGAGTCAAACGAGCGTGGAAACGGTACTGTGCTCGCAGCCGCGAGTCAAACGAGCCTGTATCCTTTCATATCAAAGCAAGAAATAAACTACATGCATGCAATGTCATGGTTAGTTAAGTCATGAAGTTACCAAAAGGCGATTAAATCTGCCTTAAAACTGTGCATGTATGTAATATATTTTATATGAGTCACATTCAAGAACATGTCTCTGAAATGGTTTTCAAAACTGTCCTAGAGCAGCCCAGCACTGTCTCACTCATCTAACACACCTGATTTAACTCGTCAGCTCATTAATGGAGACTTTAAGACCTAAAGTGGGTCAGAAAAGGTAAAAATAGTTGAGAGAAAATATGATGCGTGTCAGATCCGCTCGCATTGGTTTTGTACATTTAATTTTTGTTTAACGTTATTAATAAAAATGTTGTTCAATTAGCATGTTTTTGTGTTTTGCTTTGGTACCGAAATTGGTACCGAGAACCGTGGATTTTCACTGGTATCGGTACCGAATACTGAAATTTTGGTACTGTGACAACACTACCCTAATATTTCCAAGGTTTCCATGACCGTCAAAACCCTACATAAGATTAGTTTTCTGATGTAATGTTAAAAATAATGTGAGATGCAGCTTTGAGATGTGTTCTTGTAAAGTGAATTATCAGGGCAGGATCTGTCAGATTTATGCATGCTATTCCAAAAAAAGGTGCTTGCAACATCTTTAACTGGCTTAATTTATAATTCACATGATGACCTTGGTTAGGCTAGGATCACATGTCAGCGGCCAATCATCCAACTGAACTCCAAACTACATAATACCAGTGTATGTTTCCTAGTGAAAGATGATACTGCACTATATGGAATTTCAACTCCCAGAGAGCCATTTTGCTGGAATCCATTTAAATGAAACAAATGGTTTAAAGAGGGGGTCGTGTCCCCTGCTCAAAAACCAGTGGCCCTTGTATGGCCGAGTGCGAATAGACTGCTTCACACGTACGCTTTCTTAGTCCCGTAGCTGCGGTAGTCAATGGCTGCCGAGATGCCCACCACCAGGGCAGGAAAGCAGTAGCCGCACAGGTAGTAGTATTTCTTTCGGGAGTATTCGCTCTCAAAGACCTCCACCAGCATCAGATACAGCTGAATTCCCTCCAGACACATCCAGGAGAACGCAGCCAGGAAGAAGAAATGCAGCAGGCCCGCAAAAATGGGGCATGCAATCTGTATTTGGACAAAAAAGAGGGAAAAGGAGGTTAGTGAGAAAAATATCAGACAAAGTATAGTGCATAGTGACTATGAACATAAATGGAACAGTCCATCCAAAAATGATCATTTACTCCCCTTCGTGTTTTTTTTTTTTTTAAACCTGTATGACTTTCTTTCTTCTGTGGAACATAAAAGAAGATATTTGGAAGAATGTGAGTAGCTAAACAGGCTTGATGACCACTGACTTCAACGTTTTGCACAAATAATACAATGGAAGTCAATGGGAACCGAAACTGTTTGGTTACCAACATTCTTTAAAATATCTTCTTTCATGTTCAGTCATTTTTGGGGGGACTATCCCATTAAGTCTGATCCACATTGCACTTTATTTTGGTCCAGAAGCACCTACTTCTGAGACCCTCTGATGTGAATTACATGTTGTTTTTAAGTGACTTTTAGCATAAAACTCTGTCCTCCAACACTTTAAAAAAACATAATAAATGCATCATCCCTCCTCTGTTTTCAGATGATAATCATATTTAAAAGGGATTTATTTTGCTGGGCTGCAGTGTGAAGTAAAAGAAAATGTAGCCGGCACATAAAAGGACTCCCAGCAGAAGCATCTGCCAATCGACTGGTTGAACGAATGTGCAGGCGGCAAACAGTGATCCCACTATTGCAAGTGCACTCACCTAAAAACATCCACCTTTCAGCAAATCACTTAGTGCGAACGTCACATAACATTATTAATATGCATGACTCAAGTCGTGCTTGGCACAGTTTGTGCGCTGAGCCTGACAGGAAGTAAATTTCTTAAGAGAGAAGAAGTGAACAACAGAAGAGAAGTAGTCTTCGACAAAAAAAAAAAAAAAAAATTTATATTCGTAGTTGCCGCAAGTTTTCGGCTTAATAATGACATTTTTATGACTTGTGTATATTTTATAGTGACTGACGTGTCTGGAAAGTTTGGCTTTTAAGCTTTCAAATCATATCTTGTATAAATGTATCCACAGCAACTTGGCAACCATACTTGCAAAGAGAGGCTGATGAGATTCATAATGCAGCCCCCACACTTTACATATTGTTTCTACGCCCCTGCAAAGCGGAAGATACAGATCTGCTCATGGATTTATCATTTACTTGTTAAGTGCCTCATAAAAAACGATATCTTCTGAAAAAGAAAAGAAAAAAAAAAACCTGCAAACGTTATCCAGCTACAAGTTCTTCTTCTGAAGAGCTCATTGTAGCAACCTTGGCACCTTGTAAAATGATTTCGATTGCCAGCATACTAATGCAGCCTGAACTCTGGAAGAGATGCATTAAATCAGCCAATCAGATGACACCACTGCTTTCAACAGGGAACTTTCGATGTCAATAGACTGATGTGAAAGGCATCACAATTTGTATGATCATGAAACTAATAAGTCACAATATCCTAATCATCTTAAAACGTGTCCATGCTCATTTTCATTTCTGAAGATTGCTGTATGATATATTGATTCTGCATTCAATCAGCTGCTCTTGAATCAGAAAACATAGCAGAGCTGATAATTTAGGGTATAATTTTCGATGTGAACTCAGCAGCTTTAAATCGTTCACAGTGTTTAATGTTTTAATTGGTTGTTCTTCTCCTCAGAAGTGTTGTTTCAGTAGGGTTTTCGTTTTTGGTTGGCTGACTAAAACACAAACCTCATCAACACCAACTGTCAGCAGATATGCTTTCAGCGGTCAATGTAAAACTCTGTTTTAATTGGCCAACCAAAAAAATAAAAAAAAAGATGACCCCATCCCTGACAAGACATGACACTTCAGTTAAAGCAGGAGTAGAGAAGAAACCAACTTAAGCCGGGTATACATTGTGCTATTTTGTCCACAATTTGGCCGCCTGAGACAAATTTAGAAAATCCTAAGATTCCTCTGATCCTAGGCCGATATCTGTATTCTTAGATCGCTAGTTTGACATATTCGCAGACAACTGATTACATTTTCCTTCAATGGGGTTCTATCAATGTCAGAAGTTTTGAGGCACAGTCCTGCAGTGTGGCTTCTTCTATGACCATCAAATGAAAAACCAACAGGAGCACTGAAGATGAATCTTCTTGTTTTTACTGTCATGCAGTCTGATACTAATGACAACAGAGATCTCATAGTGCGACACGGCCTATTGCTGGGATGTTCGGAAAGTCTGACAATCAACAATTTAAAACAATAACCTTAAAACTCATCTAATTAATGTTGCTTGCTTCAAAGTAAAAATTACACCCCAAAGAATCAACAGAGGAGCAGCTTAAATGCGCAGTAAATGCATAATCAACATATAATACAGCAGAGTTGCATAATGTTGCCTGGAGGCAATTTTTTAGAAAGTCAGAGTGAGAGTGCACATACAATTGTCAATTTATATATTGTTATTCCTTATTTACTTGTTCTATTTTTTATTTTTTTATTCTTCTTTTATTATCTGTGTTTTTGTTCTGTCGCTGTCATTCTGTTGCACTGCGGAAGCTTCTGTCATGAAAACAAATTCCTCGTATGTGAAAACATACCTGGCAATAAAGCTCATTCTGATTCTGATTCTGATCCTGAAAGTGTTTTCACTAGCTCCAAAAATGTTCCATCATGTGAATAACACGCTACAAGTGTAATGTTTGTGTTTCTGAAATGTATTGTTTTATATACTTTACCATTCACTTAGTTTGGAGTCATTAAGATTTTTTAATGTTTTTGAAAGAAGTCTCTTATGCTCACAAAGGATGCTTTTATTTGATAAAAACACAGTAAAAACAGTAATATTATGAACTATAATTACAAATGAAAATAACGGACTTCTACTTCTAATATACTTTAAAATGTAAGTTATTCCTGTGATCAAAGCTGAATTTTCAGCATCATTACTCCAGTATTCAGTGTCTCATGCTCCTTCAGAAATCCTTCTAATATGCTGATTTGCTGCTCAAGAAACATTTATTATTATTAGCAATGTTAAAAACAGCTGTGCTGCTTTTTCAGGATTTTCAGTCTTTAATTGACAGTCTTTAATGTCACTTTTGATTATTTGAATGGATCCTTGCTGAATGAAAGTATTCATTTAGATCAGAGAGCAAGAACATGGGGAATGAAACCCCAGTAAAGTACGTCAGATTGTGATAGTCTGCTGCATCCTCCACAACCGAGCACTCAGAACAAGAACTCATCTGAACCGTGGCATGCAAATGAATGCAAATTACCTGCACTTAATGCAGTTTGCATTTAATTCCTTCAGTTAATCAGATGCTAAAACAATGCAGACAGCATGTTCTATCAGTGGGTGCACATAAACACTACAATCAGTGGGTGAAATTCATTCCTAGTGCATTCTCCTCTTAATATAGATCACGAATCCACTCACGTGGTACTGCGTCTTGTCGATGCCGATGAGGAAGAGGAGCTCGGCGATGAAGAGGTTGATGCACAGGTTCTTGTGGATGGTGTTGCGGTCAGTCTGCAGGCCTCGCAGGAAGCAGAAGGTGGAGATACAGATGGCGAGACACACCAGCGAAATGACGATACCCACCCATGTGATCACAAAGAGGATCAACTCATGCATCCTGCCTGGATACTGAGAGAGACCGAGAGATGGATAAGGGATATGGTATAAACGGATAGGCTGCCTAAGGGAGAGTGACTTATGAAAATCCAGGAAATGTCAAGCTGAAATTGCAGTGTGTTTGTTTGTGTATTTTGCTCTTATGTGTACAGATATGTGTGTTTGTCGTACAGACTGTGTGCAAACGGAAAAGTTGTTTATGTGCATGAGAGCTATATTCAGATTTGTTTGCAAGCAGGTGATGAATGTAAAGAAGGAATCTGTCTTACGGCAGTTTCGTGGTGTACCATGAGCACGGCGAAGTTGGTTAGATGGCTACAAGAACAAGTTGTGTGTGTGCTGTTGGTTTCCATCAGCCTGCAGCCCTGAGATGACCACTGGCCCGTCATCGAACGCTCGGAGTAGTTCCAGAATGAACAGTTTGGGCTGAAATGATTCTCCAGCTGCAAAGAAGAACCAACAGAGAGACCGGAAAAGATTGGTTTTCACACATAATGTTTTCTGTTTAGGAGACATGTGCGAAGCCTTCATGGTCAGGGACCATCTAGCACTTCCAAATTGATTTTCACTTTATTGTCTGAAATAGCAGTTTCTGCAAAGGCAGCACAATTAGAGTGAATTATAAACAATAAATCTCTCATTGATTCTTGAGTACCGAGACGTGTTACAGAAGCGACAAAAGGAATTATGTTTGGATTTGTCTGTTCCAACATGTTGAGAAGAATTCACGTTTAAGGGGCACGAGCAATTTCCTGCTGCTTCCATTTGCTCACAAATGTGTGCAGTTCTGTCACAGCAAATATTCATTATAAATATGCAGATACATGTACTGTAGCAGTCACGCTGATGAATGCATTGACACTACAGGATGATGGTCTCAAACTGATCTTCTGCTTGCAGTGTTGACAAAATAACGGTAATTTGCAAAACACACATGTATTAAATGAAGAGCTTTTTTGTGGTGTTGCTAGCCACTTAAATATTTCCTCGTCAGTGTTTTTATTTATTTATAATTTTTAAGTTGTCAGCCACTGCCTGCATTTTTTATCATTTTCACAGATGTTTAATGGCCCCCTGAATATTTAGTTGTATGAATATCTGAACAAACAGAGCCTCTGCAACAACAACAACAAAACGTTTTATTCGAGCTTTGTGCAATCTTTTTTATTAACACTTGAATATGGGTAAGTTTAATGAAAAAAAGCAACATTTTTAACAAAACATTGTGCTTTTGTAAAATACTATGTCTAGATCCGATTCAGAACAATAATAATAAAAAAAAATGGAATAGATTGGTTCCATACTGGATCGACATTCCATTCGGTAACATTATGAAGTTTAGATTTATATGCTGTTCAATGCTTTATTTATATGCTGTTCAACAGTGTATATATATATATATATATTAAGGGGCACGAGCAATTTCCTGCTGCTTCCATTTGCTCACAAATGTGTGCAGTTCTGTCACAGCAAATATTCATTATAAATATGCAGATACATGTACTGTAGCAGTCACGCTGATGAATGCATTGACACTACAGGATGATGGTCTCAAACTGATCTTCTGCTTGCAGTGTTGACAAAATAACGGTAATTTGCAAAACACACATGTATTAAATGAAGAGCTTTTTTGTGGTGTTGCTAGCCACTTAAATATTTCCTCGTCAGTGTTTTTATTTATTTATAATTTTTAAGTTGTCAGCCACTGCCTGCATTTTTTATCATTTTCACAGATGTTTAATGGCCCCCTGAATATTTAGTTGTATGAATATCTGAACAAACAGAGCCTCTGCAACAACAACAACAAAACGTTTTATTCGAGCTTTGTGCAATCTTTTTTATTAACACTTGAATATGGGTAAGTTTAATGAAAAAAAGCAACATTTTTAACAAAACATTGTGCTTTTGTAAAATACTATGTCTAGATCCGATTCAGAACAATAATAATAAAAAAAAATGGAATAGATTGGTTCCATACTGGATCGACATTCCATTCGGTAACATTATGAAGTTTAGATTTATATGCTGTTCAATGCTTTATTTATATGCTGTTCAACAGTGTATATATATATATATATATATATACATAAAATAAAATAAAATAAATATACATTTAAATGTAATTTATTCCTTTGATGCAAAGCTGCATTTTCAGCATCATTAATCTAGTCTTCAGTCTCACATGATCCTTCAGAAATCATTCTATATTCATCTGATTTGCTGCTTTTCTGCTCAAGAAACGTTTTGTATATGTTGAAAACAGTTGTTTCAATTCTTGGATGAATATATAGTTCAAAAGAACAACATTTATTTGAATTGTAAGACAATGTAAATGTTTTTACAATATTGAACAGTAGTGTACATGAAGTACTGAGGTCTGAGGAAAGGTGATTTTAGGGGAAGTGAGGGATAATGAAATAATCATAATGCAAAAAAATGATAATTTACACAGAAATGTGTTTATGTTTCGCGAATGTAACCCCATGCGTGAAAGTAACTAATGTTTTCTTGCTTGTTTACTAAATGTAATGTAATGAAATTCTAAAGTAATTGTTTGCTTGTGTGTGACTGTGTGAGTTTTATGTACCTGTAAATGTCTAAGTGTGAACACCACAGGCTCGGTCAGAAACACTCGACTGGACTCTTTATTGATCGACGCTGCGATGACGTGTGAATTCACTGCCAGGCCCCGCCCACCAGGCCCCGCCTCCATTTCCATTTTCACGGTGGCGTTTTCAGTGGACAGGAACGAACCCAGATTCTTATAGAGCACAAAGACCACTTTTACCTGGCCTGTACAGAGAAACACAGCACAAGAAAGAAAGAGAGAGTTACTGAGTGGCGGAAGGATATGAATAACAACTAAGAGGAAAAAGGGAGCGGTAGAGTGAGTTGAGTGAAGGTTAAAATGATTTGGGCTGGGAGGGGGTGAGTGAGTGATCGGGGGATGAAAGAATTTTAATATGGAGGGCAACGGAACATTCATCCCTTCAGCACTCACTCACTCCGTTTCTTCCGTATGAATATTTCATGTGCGTTTGTTTCAATCATACTAATCTCACATCCCCCCGCCCAACCTGTCCCCGATGAGAAGCAGCGAGAACGAGAACGACGACGTGGCTTCAAAAAGAGGGTAAACGCGGGAATGGTGGAAAAAGCGAGGAGTAGGAGAGCTGATGGCGGGATAAGATGGCTAAGAGATGGAGGGGACAGGAAGGAGAGAAGCAGGAGAAAAGAAAAGAGTGCCGAGATTGCTCTGTCAGCCTGAAAATGATAGTAATCTAGTCGCCTCTCGGGCTGTTCGATTAAGAGCTCCGTTAAGAAACCATCAGGGAAGAAATGGTCTCAGCGCTTTTGTTAATCTGATTAGGTTTATTATTATCAACCAATAACGGGGTAAACCGAAGTGGAAATTTCGCTAAGCTTCAGTGAAACTGCACGGGGGCAAGTCGCACATCGAGATGGAAGGGGCAAGAAGAGAGAGAGAGAGAGAGAGAGCTGTGACTGACCGTTGCGGCTGTACTGTTTGAAGGTGGAGGCCGAGAGCTGGATGCTGCTGTCACTGGGACCGTTCTGAGGGAACGACAAATCCTGAGACTCTGTCTCTGTGTTCAACACGCGCACCTCTAGATCTGAAGACACACAAAAACACACACTGTGAGAGTTTGAACTGTAATAACACAGCAAAAAAAGCCCTGAAAGGTTACAATAAAAGTTACTCATTTTGAAGTAGTAGTCAAAAGCTACAAAGAGTTATTTAACTGGGCACTATAAACTTCATTTATTTTGTATTCTGTACATTATAAACTACTATTAAAAAGTCAGTAAGACTTATTTTTTTATATAGAAATGAATAATTTTATTCAGCAAGGACACAAATTGATCAGATTGATCAAAAGTGAGAGTAAAGACATTTATAATGTTACAAAATATTTCTATTTCAAATAAATGCTGTTCTTTTGAACTTTGCCTTCATCAAAGATTGCCTCCAAAAATGTATCAGTTTCCAAAAAATATCAAGCAGCACAGTTTTAAACACTGAAAATTTGTCATCACAGGAATAAATTACTTTTTAAAATATATTCAAATATGAAACAGCTATTATAAACTGTAATAACATTTCACAATATTTACTGTATTTTTAATCATTACAAGACTTATTAAACAAGATTTATTTCAAAAACATTAAAGTTTTGAACACTGAATACAAAAATAAAGTAAAAATCAAAAATAACTATTAAACAAGGTTTATATATGGACAAACCCAGTGATTGGGTTGTTTTTACCCAGCGGTTGGGTTAAATGTTTAACCCAACCGCCTGGGTAGTTGTCTTTGTATAAAAATTACTATATATTCTTGCTTAAAATGAACCCCAAATAGGTTGGATATTAACACGTTTTAATATATTTAATAAACGAACATTTATTAATACGTTTAATAAATAATGAAATACTAAACATTTATTAAACACTTATTAATAAATGTTCACCTTTTGATTATTACTAATGCCTCTAGTAAAAAAAGTGTCTGACTGTTAATTTCCAACCTGTTTTGGATTCATTTTAAGCCAGACATAGAGTCATTTTTAAACAATAGTTGAGTTAAATAAAACTGCCCAGTCGCTGGGTTTGTCCATATTTAACCCAACTTGGGTTGTTTTTAACCCAGCATTTTTTAGAGGTATGGTTCCATGAACAATCTTTAACATCCATGAAACCTTTTCATTGCACAAAAGATGGTTCTCTTAAGAACATTTCACTCAAAGATTCTGTGGAGAACCCAAAATAGTTCTTCTATGGCATCAGTGTGAAAACCCTCTTTTGAAACCTTCATTTTTACTAGGAACACAAAGCCAGTTAGTTTCTCGTCAACACAAACTCACCGACATTGGCAGCATGGTCTGAGAAGTGATTATTGTACATGTTATTGGCCAACAGGAAGGCTCCTTTCTCCATGACGTCCAGTAGCATGGTGGCGGTGTGCGCTTGCTCCGTACTGTTCATGTCCTGCCATGACTCTAAAGCTTCGGCACGCAAAAGATTATCCACAGTCTGCACAACCGCCTGCGCACACATGCACAAACAAATACACTTACACTTCATCATAATTACACTCGACATCAAAGATGAGAAAATACGACTCTCTGTGAATGTCACATCTGTGAATCTTACGTAACGCTTGAAATTTATTTCTAAGGAGCAACATCTTATAGGCTATTGTAAATTAGAAGAGTGCTAAAAGAAAGCCTTGGGCAAGATTGCTAGAAGTCTCCCTTTCTCACTCTCTCTCTCTCACACACCCAACAGACACACAACAAACCAGCTGCAGTTAAAATTGGTAAGCATATGCAATAAAAGGTAGGCATATGCAATAAAGGTAGGCATATGCAATAAAAAATATGGATGGCACTTTCTATGACGCCTGTATATGTTATGCATAATGAATGCAGTCATAATGCCATACTGTAATGCATTATATCTTTTCATTAAAAGTAACCACCAATATAATGTAATATAATACTTCATGGTACTATGTTAAAAGACCTCATCAAATCAAAACGAGAGTTTTTTATTTTAATATATATTTAAGAAAATGTATTTATCCCCTTGATGGCAAAGTTTATTAAACCAGTCTTCAGTGTCAGTCCTAAAATGCTGATTTAGCAGTCAAGAAACATTTATTATTATTAATTAGGTAACTTTAGTTTAGGGACCAATTCTCACTATTAACTAGTTGCTTATTAGCATGCATATTACTAGCATATTGGCTGTTTATTAGTACTTATAAAGCACATATTAATGCCTTATATTAGATCCCTTAATGACCATATTTTAGATCCCTAAATCCTACCCCTTACTTAACAACTACCTTATTATTAATAAGCAGCAAATTGGGAGTTTATCGGGGCAAAAGTGGTAGTTAATAGTTAGTTAATAGCGAGAATTGGTCCCCAAAGTAACCGTGACATGTTCTTCAGGGTTCTTTGATAAATAGAAAGTTTGAAAGAACAGCATTTATTTGAAATATAAATATTTTGCTAAATTTTGTCTTTACGGTCACGTTTGATCAAATGAATGCATCCTTGCTGAATTCAAGTTTTAATTGTCTTTAAAAATATACTGACCCCAAACAGTGGTCTATATGAATTAAAAATGTACACACTCTTAAAGGAAATTGGGCCAAAAATATAGATGACTTGAGTTGCACCACAGATTTCTGTCAATTTATCAAATTTTCTCAAGAATGAGACGTAATACCACCTAAAACAAACTAGAAAGTAGCAAATTGTGTTAATTGATGTTAATGCACAATACTTTCGTATCTATTTCCCTTTGTTTCTTTGCAGTATTTTAGTCTAGTGGCCCTTCAAGACCAGCACTGAACAGTGCAGGTGTATTATAAGGAAATTCTGACTGTATTTTAATATCTTTATAATGCATTTTATATACAGGCTCCCTAGAATGTTTTGTAGAAAAATGCTCACAGTCGAGTGCGGGATAGGAATCAAGCACCGGTATGTGTGCGCAGTGATACGGAGGATAAGAAGAGATACGAGAGGTGAAGTGTGTCTGTGAACTCATACAGATAACGCTGCACAATACCTGAACATAAGCCCGGCAGGTCCTCTCTCTCTTCTGCCACTGCAAGACACAATGAAACTACTTTCAGATACACACATACATGAAGAAGAGTCTTGCCCATTCAAACTGATTTTGAGTCAATATCAAATGCAACTTACAAAAATACTACTACTACTATGCATTTATTATAATTAACTTGCATACTTAAAGAATGGTGTTAAAAGTTATTTTCCATCCATCAAAAATTCATGCTGTCAAGTTCAGATTCAATTTTGCTTCAATTGAAAGAACATATTACGTGAAATAACATTATTGGTTTTATTTATATATTATATAAATTGTGTGTATACACACACTTTGTAATACTTTTTAAAATTGATTTTACAATTAATTACATACAACTATATAAAACTGTAATATAATTTATAACTTTTTTATAATTATATACTAATAATTAAAATATATAATTATATACTCTCTATCTATCTATCTATCTATCTATCTATCTATCTATCTATCTATCTATCTATCTATGTGTGTGTC